GTGATTTACTTCCATTTATGTGGTCACTTTCAAAATAGGTGTAATGTGATACTGAAAAAAAAAGTATGTTCTGTGGACCTGGGGTGAAGAATTCTATAAATATTCACTGAGTTTACTTGTTCCAGGTCTGAGTTCAAATCATAAATGTTCCTGTTAATTTTTTATCTCATTGATACATCAAATATTAACAATGTGGTGTCAAAGTCTCCTGTTACTATTGTGCGGGAGTCCAAGTCTCTTCATAAGTCATTAAGAACTTGTCTTATGTACCTGGGTGCTCCTATATTGAGTGCATATATATTTGTGATCATTGACTCCTGTTGTTACATTGATTATTTTACCATTATGTAATGTCCTTCTTTGTTTCTTTTAGTCTTTGTTACTATTAAAGTCTATTTTGTCAGAGATGAAAATTACAACTCCTGATTTGTTTGTTTGTTTGTTTTTCTCTCTCCATTTGGTTGGTGAGTCTTCATTGAACCTTTTGTTTTGAGGCTTTGTGTGACCTTTCTTATGAGATGGATCTGGATACAGCATGCTGATGGGTTTTGACTTTTTATTCAATTTGTGTGTCTGTGTCTTTGATTGGGGCATTTAATCCATTTAAATTTAGGATTAACATTGATATTTGTGAGTTTAATATTGTCATTTAATGCTAGCTGGCTATTTTGCCCATTAGTTGATACAGATTCTTCATTATGAAGATACTCTTTACCTTTTGGTAAGTTTTTGGGATGACTGATACTGGTTGTTCCTTTCTGTGTGTAGTGCTTCTTTCAGAAGCTCTTGTAAAGCAGGCCTGGTGGTGATAAAATCTCTGAGTGCTTGCTTGTTTGCAAAAAAATTTTATTTTTCCTTCATTTATGAAGCTTAGTTTGGCTGGATATGAGATTCTGGGTTGAAAATTCTTTTCTTTGAGGATATTGAATATTGACCCCCACTCTCTTCTAGTTTGTAGGGTTTCTGCTGAGAGATCTGCTATGAGTCTGATAGGCTTCCCTTTATGGGTAACCTGACCTTTCTCTCTAGCTGCCCTTAGAAATTTCTCCTTTATTTCAACCCTGGTGAATCTAATGATTATGTGTCTTGGGGTTGCTCTTCTTGAGGAATATCTTTGTGGTATTCTCTGTATTACCTGGAGTTGAGTATCGTCCTGCCTTACCAGGTTAGGAAGGTTTTCCTGAAAAATATCCTGAAGAATATTTTCCACCTTGGATTCATTCTCTTCATGACATTCAGGTACACCTATCAAATGTAAATTAGGTCTTTTCACATAGTCCCGTATTTCTTGGAGACTTTGCTCATTCCTTTTTACTTTTACTTCTCTAATATTGTCTTCTTATTTCATTTCATTAAGTTGGTCTTCAACCTCTGATATCCTTTCTTCTGCTTGATCAATTCGAGTGTTAAAACCTGTGCACACTTTGTGGAGTTCTCGTATTGTATTTTTCAGTTCCATTAATTCACTTATATTCCTCTCTAAATCGTCTATTCTTGTTAGGATTTCGTCAAACCTTTTTTCAAGGTTCTTAGTTTCTTTACATTGGGCTAGAATATGTTCTTTTAACTCACAGAAGTTTCTTATTATTCACCTTCTGAAGCCTAATTCTGTTATTGGAACACACTGGTTCTCCATCGGGCCTTGTTCCCTTGTTGATGAGGAACTGTGATCCCCTGTAGAGGGAGAGGCATTCTGATTTTGAGTGTTCTCAGCCTTTTTACGCTGGTTTCTTCCCGTCATTGTAAATTTATCCACCTGTCACCTCTGACTAATTACTGACTTTCAGTGGACATCCAACTTGTTGATTCCCAGTGCCAAAATCTGAGCAACCCACTGTGCCGGCTAAAACAGCGGCATTAAGGTTCTTGGTGCTTTTCTGCTGGGGAATCTCCGGTCTGGCTTCCCTCTTGAGTTCCTTTTTCAATTAGCTCAATGGGCGACTCTGCCTTCCTGGAGCTCCAAACGTCGACCAAAAGGGGACTCAGTCCCATTTACGCTGCACCGAGAACCTCCGCAGCAGGGCACTGGTAAAACCGCTGCGCCGGCCACAAGATTCACACTGGCGACCCGTGGGGCTCCTCCACTGGGAATCTCCTGGTCGGTGAGCGACAAAAATTCGTCTGAAAGTGTGGCATCCTCTTGTTCTCTGTGCTTTCACTGGGAGCTACAATCCTGAGCTGCTAGTAATCAGCCATCTTGGATCTCTCCTAGAATTGGTATTCTTTAAATGTTTGGTAGAATTCCGAAATGATGCCGTTGGGTCTCAGGATTTTTCTTTACTGGGATATTTTTGTTATAGCTTTAATCTTATTACTTGTTATTAATCTGATCAGATTTTGGATTTCTTCATGGTTTAATTTTGGTAGGTTGTATGTATCTAGAAATGTATTCATTTTCTCTAGATTTTTTTATTTATTGGCACATGGTCATAATAGCTATTAATGATCCTTTGAATTTTTGCACTATCTGTTATAATGTTTCATTTTTCATCTCTGATATTATCTATTTGGGTCTTCTCTCTTTTTTACTTAGTCTGGCTAACAATTTTGTCAATTTTATCTTTTCAAAGAACCAGTTTTTTGTTTCCTTGATCTTTTGCATTGTCTTCTTCATTTCAGTTTTATTTATTTCTGCTCTGATTTTTATTATTTCTTTTCTTCTACTAATTTTGGGTTTAGTTTGCTCTTGCTTTTCTAGTTCTTGAAGATGCACCTTCAGATTACTTATTTGAAATTTTTCTTCTTTTTTGATATAGGCATTTATAGCTACAAACTGCCCTCTTAGTACTGCCTTCACTGTATCACATAGATTTGGTATGTTATGTTTTCATTATCTTTTGTTTCAAGACATTTTTCAGTTTTCTTCTTAATTTCTTTATTGACCCACTGGTTATTCAGGAGCATATAATTTCCATGTGTTTCTGTAGTTTTCCAAATTCTTCTTGTTAATGATTTCTAGTTTTATTCAGTTGTGGTTACAAAAGATGCTTGATATCATTTCGGATATATATTTTTTAATGTTTTAAGGCTTGTTTGGTGACCTAACATATGTGGTCTATCCTTGAGAATGATCCATGTGCTGAGGAGAAGAATGCATATTCAGTAGCCATTGGGTAAAATGTTGTGTAAATATCTACTGGATCCATTTGTTCTGTGGTATAGATTAAGTCTAATGTTTCTTTGTTGCTTTTCTGTCTGGATAATCTGCCCAATGCTGCAAGTGGGATGTTGAAGTTTCCAGCTACTATTGTATTACAGCCTATTTCTCTCTTTAGCTCAATGTATATCTGGCAGCTCCAGTGTTGGGTGTATATAATTTATAATTGTTATATCCTCTCACTGAATTAAGCCCTTTATCATTATATAATGACTTTGTCTCTTCTTACAGTTTTTGTCTTGAAGTCTATTTTGTCTGATATAAATATTCTGCTCTTTTTTGGTTTCCATTAGCATGGAATATCTTTTTCCATCCCTTTATTTTCAGCCTATGTGTAACTTTGTAGGTAAAGTGTGTTTCTTGTAGACAACAGATCATTGGCTCTTGTTTTTTATTCATTCAGCCACTTTATGTCTTCTGATTGTAGAGTTTAGCCCATTTATATTCAATGTAATTATTGGTAAGGACTTAGTCGTGCCAATTATTGGTAAGTAAGGACTTACTTGATATTTGTTTTCTGGTTGTTTTGTAGTCATCTCTTCTTTCTTGTCTTCCTTTTAGTGAAGGTGATTTTCTCTGGCCATGTGATTTAATTTCTTGCTTTTTATTTTTTATGTATTCATTGTATGTTTTTTAATTTAAGTTTACCATGAGGCTTGTGAATATTATCTTATAACCCATTATTTTTAACTGATGAAAACTTAACACTGATTGCATAAACAAACAAGCAAAGAGAAAACTAATAAAAACTACACTTTGTTCCCCTGCTTTTTAACTTTTTGTTGTTTGTTCTTATATCTTATTGTACTATGTCTTGAAAACTTGTTGTAGTTATTATTTGTGATTTGTTTATTGTTTAGTTCTTCTACTTAAGAGTAGTTTTTGGGAGACTGAGGCAGGAGATTTGCTTGAACCTGGGAGGTGGAGGTTGCAGTGAGCCAAGATCACACTACTGCACTCCAGCCTAGGTGACAGAGTGACACTCCATCTCAAAAAATAAAAATAAAAAAATAAAAAAACAAAAATAAGAGTTGTTTACACACCACAATTACAGTGTCACAATATTCTTTGTTTTTCTGTGTGCTTACTATTTCTCGTGAGTTTTGTGCCTTCAGATGGTTTTTTTGCTGCTCACTAATGTTCCCTTCTTTCAGATAGAGGAACTCCCTTTAGCATTTCCTGTAGGACAGGTCTGGTGATGATGAAATCCCTCAGCTTTTGTTTGTCTGGAAAAGTCTTTATTTTTCTCTTTCATGTTTGAGGGATATTTTCACCAGATATACTATTTCAGGGTAGAAGTTTTCTTCCTTCAACACTTTAAGTATGTCATGCCACTCTCTTTTAACTGTAAGGCTTCCCCTGAAGTCTGCTGTCAGACTTATTGGAGCTCTATTGTGTATCATTTCATTTGTTTCTTTTCTCTTGCTGCTTTTGGGATCCTTTTTTTATTCTTGTTTTGTTTTGTTTTGTTTTGAGAAAGAGTCTTGCTCTGCTGTCCAGGCTGAAGTGCAGTGATGTGATCTTGGCTCACTGCAATCTCCACCTCCTGGGCTTAAGTGATTCTTATACCTCAGCCTCCCAAGTAGCTGCGATTACAGGCACATGCCATGATGCCCAGCTATTTTTTTGTATATTTAGTAGAGGCAGGGTTTTGCTATGTTGGCCAGGCTGGTCTCAAACTCCTGGCCTCAAGTGATCCACCTGCCGCAGCCTCCCAAAGTGCTGGATTACAGGCATGAGCCACCGTACCCAGTCCCTTTTGTTATCCTTGATTTGGGGGAGTTTTGCCCTTTTGAATAAACTTTCTACCTCCATCTCTTCTTTAAGATCAATAATTTTTTTTTAGTTTTAGTATTTTAATACAGTTCAAATCAGTGTGTCTGGTTCATTTCAGTTCCTTCACTGCCAAACTAGGGGGCAGGGACTGCTTCAGTTTCTCTGCCTTCTCCTTGTCCGTGATGACCAGGGTGTAAAAGTATCTGCAGCATCAAACTTTAAACTTCACATTGTACTTATTTTTCTTGATCTTGACAGATTTGGCATCCTTTCATTGAGCTGTGAGCAGAAAGTCCCTGATTTCCTTAATTTTCTGAGGCATGATGATGAGATGTGCTGGGAGTGGGCGTGATCTGGGACAGCGAGCAGCAACCGGGGAAGAGGATGAAAAAAAAAAAGGAAGATCAATATTTCTTAGATTTGCCCTTTTGAGGCTATTTTCTAGATGTTATAGACATGCTTCATTCTTCTTTATTCTTTTTGCTTTCATCTCCTTTGAGTATATTTTCGAATAACCTGTCTTCAAGCTCACTAATTCTTTCTTCGCCTTGGTCAGTTCTGCTATTAAGAGACTCATGTATTCTTCAGTATATCAATTGTAGTTTCAACTCTAGAGTTTCTGCTTGACTCATTTTAATTATTTCAATCTCTGTTAAATTTATCTGATATGATTTTTTTTTTTTTTCGAGATCGAGTCTCACTCTATCACTCAGGCTGGAGTACAGTAGCATGATCTCGGCTCACTGCAACCTCTACCACCTGGGTTTAAGTGATTCTTGTGCCTCAGCCTCCTGAGTAGCTGGGACTACAGGTGTGCACCACCATGCCCAGCCAATGTTTGTATTTTTAGTAGAAATGGGGTTTCACCATGTTGCCCAGGCTGGTCTTGAACTCTCGACCTTAAGTGATCCTCTTACCTTGGCCTCTCAAAGTGTTGAGATTACAGAAATCTGATAGAATTCTGAATTCCTTCTCTATGTTATCTTGCTTTTCTTTCAGTTTCCGCAAAGCAGCTATTTTGAATTCTCTATTTGAAAGGTCACATATCTCTGTTTCTCCAGGATTCGTCCCTGGTACCTTGTTCAGTTCATTTGGTGAGGTCATGATTTCTGGATGGTTTTGATGCTTGTGGATGTTCGTCAGTGTCTGGGCATTGAAGAGTTAGATATTACAGTCTTTGCAATCTGGACTTGTTTGTGCCCATTCTTCTTTGGAAGGCTTTCCAGCTATTCGAAGGTACTTGGGCCCCAAGCCCAGTAATGCTATGGTTCTTGCAGACTCATAGAGGTACTACCTTGGTGGTCTTGAATAAGATCCAGAAGAAGTCTCTGGATTACCAGGTGGAGGCTTTTGTTCTCTTCACTTACTTTCTCCCAACAAACAGATTCTCTCTGTGTGTGCTGAGCCACTTGGAGCTGGGGATGATGTGACACAAGCACTCCTGTGGCCATCACTAAGACTGTTCTGGGTCAGACCTGAAGCCAGCACAACAATGAATCTCACCCAAGGCCCACTGTAACCACTACCTGGCTACTACCTATGTTCACTCAAGGCCCTGTGGCTTGGCAATCAGCATATAACAAAGCCAGCCAGGTTTGGGTTTTTTCAGGGTGGCAAGTTCCCCTAGGCCCCAGGTGGGTCCAGAGATACTGTCTGGAAGCCAGAGCTTGGAGTTGAAAACCTTAAAAATCTACCTGGTGTTTTATTCTACTATGGCTAATGTGGCATTCAAGCCACAAGACAAAGTCATTCTCAGTCTTCTGTCCCATTTCCCTGGGCAGAGGATCCTTTCCCCATGGCTACCACTACCACCAATTCATGGGGTATTCTGCCACGCCGCTGACAATGTTCACTTAAAGCCCAAGGGCTCTTCAGTCAGCTTTCGGTAAATGATGCTAAGCCTGGGACTTACCCTACAAGGCAGTGGACTCCCTTCTTGCCCCAGGCAGGCCCAGAAATGCTGTCCAAGAGCCTAGGCCTGGACTCAGGGATGCTAAGAGCCCACTTGGTGCTCTACCACTCTATGGCCAAGCTGTTAGTTGAAGCCAGCATGTCTCAGGGTCTCATCCAAGGTTCTCAGTGTATTACCTGGGTGTCGTTGGTGGTTATTCAGGGCCTAAGGGCACTTTAGTCAGTAGTTAATGGATCCTGCCAGGACTGGTTCCTTCCCTTCAAGGCAGTGGCTCCCTTCTTTCCCAGGGTGTGTCTAGAAATGTCATCCAGAAGCTGGGGCCTGGGATGGGGGCTTCCAGACCTGCCTGGTGCCCTATTCTACTGTGGCTGAGCCAGTATCCAAGATTCAAGACAAAATCCTCTTTGCTCTTCTCTCTCCTCTCTACAAGCAAAAGAAAGGAGTCACTTTCATGGTTACAAACTGTGCTGCCTGGTGTTCAGGGAGAGATGGCACAAGCACTCTCTAACCAAACGGTGTGGTATCTCACTAAATCATATATCACCCCAGTCCACTGGCTCTAAGCCCAGCCTAGCACTTGGAGTTGCCTAAAAACTTTGAGTCCTTGTGTCCTAGACTCTTTCACGTTCACTTACAATCCCAGAGCTCTTTAGAACATGGTTGCAAGACTTGCCCAGAAACACAAGTTCTGAATTCTGGAATGGGCACTTTTCCTCTGGTTAGGTCTTGCCAAAATGCTCCCTCCATGGGTGGGTGCCAGCTGAATTCAGCACAGTTTTGCTTTCCTCTGCCACAGGACAACACTGAGTTCAATGTGAGCTCCCCCAGTCATTGTGCCCTCCCTCCCCTAAGCACGCAGATTTTCTTTGTGCCATGCCACCACTGCTGGGGTACGGAGAAGGGAGTGCATCGGCAATTCAAGACCATCTGTCCTACTCCCTTCAGTGCCTCTTGTAGCAATATGAAGTTAAAACCAGGTGCTGTGATTGCTTACCTGATTTTTGGTTCTTATGAAAGTGATTTTCTGCGTGCAGATAGTTGTTAAAATTTGTTGTTCACATGGTGGAAATGATTGCCAGATGCCTCTATTCAGCCATCTTGCTTGGCCACCTCCAAATTTTTTTAACACTTAATAAAACATTTAAAAAATATGTCAATGAGTTCTAATTTGGCTCAATACTTATTTAATTATATATTTGTATAATATATATATCATGAAAATAATTTATATAAGTTTGAAAAATTAGAAAAATTATCTTCATTTCTTAAGGCAAAAAAGTTTATTTTGTGTAGGATGTGGGAGTAGTTTAATGAGGTTAATGGATGTGGGAGAGGAAACAGCTCTTGGTTTGGCTCTGAGCAGCTCTGGTCACTGGTAAATACCATTGTTGTCTATTGCCAAGAGTCAGCTCCATTTAGTCCTCATCCATGTTTTCCTCTGAAGATGTTATATCTCCGTGGTATAGGTGTGAGAGATGTAATGCAACTTTTTTAAATGTAAAGGTGTTTTCTGGCTTTGGACTTACATTGTTCTTCTTAGAATTGCACACTGTCTTTTCCTCTTCAAGGTGAACCTTCTAGAAATTGACTCATGCCATGCAATTTTATGCATAATGCATGCTCAGTAAAAGACAGTAAAGCCCAAAAATATCAGCTTCATTTTCTCTATTTTAATGTTATTTTCCCTAATAATTTCCTAGGGAAGCATTATCTGATTTTATAACATTCCTCTGCCAATTATCTTAGTGATTCTACATATCAGCAATTCATCAGCATCTGTAACTGGCAGTACCAATTATTCATAATTGTAACTTTTTATAACCACATTTACATTTACATCATCTCTCTATCCATTTTGCAATAAGAAAAAAAGAGGGCAAATTGAAAAGAAGTAACTTCTTTTTTGATTTTTTCCTGTGAGTACAAGAACAACAGATAAAAGATATTTTAAAATCCTGAAAGAACAAGTTGTATATCTTTTGCACTTACATTCTATATATATAAGTAGTTATTTGAGTATTGGGGGTATATGGTATCAAAATGAAGATCCTTCTACCCTGGCTTCTATTATATCTTTTCTCACATTGAATTGCAATTAACTTTTTCCACAATCATCTCTCTCATTGTGAATTCCTTAAGAAATTCTTATTTATATTTATACCCCTAAAAACAGCACACACTTAGCTCCCCGGTGATGCTTATATGTTTCTTGAATAATTAATTTTTACAATCCCATTAAGTTTATATAGAAATAATTAAAATATGTCATAATTTCACTTCAAATAACATATTACCATTTACAGTGCATTTTAAAGCTACTGAAATCCATTTCTAGTAATTCTCTATCTACTACATCATAGTTTCTGTTTCATTGGGATTATTTCCATCAGCATACTGTCATACTCTGATTTCTTATCTTAAAAAAAAAACTGTCTGGACTCCTTTTCTCTCTCAGTCATCCCCCAAGTCTCTATTCCTCTTTATAGAAAATCCCTCTACATGTTTTCTATATTTGTTGTCTCCAGCCCCAGTAGGGGAGTGGGTGGTGGTGAATGGCCTGGTAGGTTACTCAGGGCCTGGAAACAGTGAAAATGGAAAATCAGAAAGAAGAAGGTCTGGGGAAGAGACATGTGGATGGGCTTTACAGAGTGGGCACAAGGAGTGTAGATCTTTGTGTTTCACTGAAGACCTACCAGAAAACACCAACTGCAGAGGAGATATTCAAAAACAAGGTAGACTGAGTAACTCTTCTTAGCTGTTCCAGTGCTTGCATAGCATGCTACATACAGAGTTGCCATGGTGGTGGGGTTTGAGGTTGTGCGTGGGTTCAGTATCACAGGTTCTCTTTAACCATGGCTGACCCAGTTATTTCTATTGCTGAATACCAAACTGGGAAGCACTGGGGACCAAATGTGTTCTCAATACAGTACCCCTTAAGGAGGCCAGCTAGCAACTTGGATAAATGGAATATTTTACATCTTTTCAATCCTGAAAGGATATAATTCATCTTTGATGCTAACTTTGGATAAGGATGTGACTTCTCTCCCTGCAGTACCTTTGATGGCACCAGTCTACAGGGGATTATAATGCAATTTACCAACATGAGATCCTGTTGGACAAGGATTACACAGGCCATAGGCAAAAATATTCAGTGGGTAGAACAACTTGTGTGGATACAATGGGTTTGGTAACATATTCCCCTTTGTCTTGGGGATCAACATTAAATTCCTCGTTACTTATGTAAATTTCTGCAGCTGGTTTGAATTTCTCCACAGAGAATGGAGTTTTCTTTTCTACCACATGGTCAGGCTGCAATTTTTTAAAACTTTTATGCTGTCACCTCTTGAATGCTTTGCTGCTTATAATTTTTTTCCACCAGATACGTTAAATACCTCTCAAGGTCAAAGTTC